GAAATACTTAAAACATTTTTAGAAACAGAAATTTCTTGCAGATATTTACATTATACCTATTTAACTATAAGCATTACCTCTGTTCTGAAAATATCTTTTCTATTAATATCCACATGAAAAGAAAATATAAATCCTAACATCATGTTCAAAACCTTTTTTTATAATGTATGCAATTTTTTTTAACTTACCTTACATATCTTTTTGGTGGTGCCACGCACTCAGTTTAAAGATTGTAATTCAAAAGATAATTAGAAAAAATTGTTTTTAAAATTGCATTGAATTGAAATACAATGAAAACAAGTATGTCTACATATGAATTCAATTACTACTGTTTCTTCAATAACTGTACATTTTTTAAATTTCAGTTTACAGTTTCACAATTTAATTACCTTAATATGAATCTTACATGCATTATTTTAGAAATTTTTCTATCATTCTCAGAAAGATTTATATTGCATAACAAATTTTAAACAAACTGATTGCATGATAATAACATATATAAAAGTGAACAGAAGCTATATTAGCTAAACATATGCATTTAAGTTTCATCATGATAAAATGATATTTAATGATTTACAAAAAGCATTGATATTTAAATTTAAGAACACAGTACTAGTAAAACTAAATAAATCTAAGCATCTAATAAGAGTGTCTGAGGTATGTCTAACAGTAACAGTTAAGTATGTTTTGTTAAGAGGCAGGTGGCTACTGGTAACAGCGTTAAGAGGTAGGTGACAAAGAATACGGAGAAAATTTCGGGGAGTGTCATTGTGTGAGTTATTGGTGAGGGTCCCTTCCGTGACGTCACAAGCCAGTTTCGATTCAGAGCGCAGGCCTTATCTATCTCGATGGTGACGGCTATGGCCGCCCTGCGGAAATTTCACTTGAACGCGCTAGACGCGTTACGGACGACGAAGAGGTTAATGCTTAAAAGTGACGTGGTGACTGGTTTTAAGAAATTAAAAGAACGAGTACCTGCGTTATTAACAAATAGGATGAACGCACCATTGGTTACTGGAAAAAAGTAGAATGTCAAGAATGTTTAAAAGAAATATAGAATTTGCCTCTTTCACTTACCATAATAACAAGAACTTATGGGTGACAAGCAGTATTTTTATTGATTTTGCTTTTGAAATGGAACAGAAAACTGAAAAAACAAATTTACTGTTGGATACCTGTGTTGCATACCCATCTGATATTCTAAAAAGCTTCAAATTGGTATTTTTTCCAGGAAATATGACTTCTCTCATTCAGCCTTTAGATCAAAGTATTATAAAAGCATTCAAATGTCATTAAAGAAAAGGTGTTGTTCAAAAATGATAAATAAAATTTAATCTTGTAAAAATGCAAGCGTTCCATAGTCAATATGTTTTTTAGAGACTATGCATATTATAATCAATGCATGGAAAGCAGATTGCAAAAACACAGAAATTAATTTAGAAAATGTGTTTTTATTTAAAAAAAGCCACGGAGAAATTGCAAACTATTTCTAATATTTCAGACTTCACTGAGGAAAATTATGAAGATTCATTTTTAGAATATGTTGCAATTGATGATAATATTGAGACAGCATGCGAAAACACTGATTACAATAATAAAGGGCTGCATAAACTGAAACTGACAGTGAAAGTGATATGGAAGAAAGTGACTGCAAGCCAACCTCAGCTGAATCAAGAAAAGCACTGCAAACTTTACAAAGAACTCTTGAATTACTAATTCAGAAGTCAAACAACAAAAATCAATGTGAAAATTTTGAAAATATAACGCTGATTTTTGTTGTTTGACTTCTGAATTAGTATTTGTTCGGTGTGTTATTGTGTCTTAACTTTTGAATTGAAAATGTAAAATGGAAATCAGAAAAGATAGCAGCAGTTTTATGAACTTGAAAACACAGATGAAAAACTTTTGACAAACAATATAAAACAAATATGGATAGTGCAGTACTTTGTAAAAGTTTAAAATTTCAATAAAATTAAAAATAAGTAAATGAATAAATAAAAACAAATTTTGAAATTTTGCAAATAGTATTAATTATTAATTAATAATTTATATATTCGTTATGATACTAATTGTTGTCTAATGTCTTACTAAATAAGTTCAATGTTGATACTGTCCACTGTAGCAATATTAAAATACTATCTATTAAGTTCAGCTACTTAATAAACTCAAATATGTTTGAAACAAAAGTGAATTTAATAACCAGCGGGTACTGTACTTTGAATAAGTTTTGAGGGGGGGGAAGTAATGTTCTTGTCTTATGCTTATATTTTTGTTTTACAAACTGCCATTATTTAATTGTCAAATAATAAGCAATATAAAATAAAACATATAATTTTGCTGTTCATATGTCTTACTGTTTTCTTAGTTCATATTCTCATAGATTTTGTTTACTTCAACAATAACGAAGAAACATAGAAGAAAAAAATGTAGGACATGTATGATTTCATCACTTCTTCCCTATAAACTTACTATCAACTTAAGTAAAACCAATAATATAATTTTTTATTTCGGTACCTTAATAACACCTATCAGAATACAACTAAAAATAGAATATTAACCCTTTGCACTCCATTATCATTGATAATGCAACATTCAAAACATGAACTTTAAATCCACAGTCACTGCAGTGGTGACATGCTTCTTAGAAGCAATAACTAGTTAACTAAACAAGTGCATTTTGCAATATTTGCCATGGAAAACCCTATATGCACATGGGTGATTGTTTCCAAAAATGTCCTGCTATGACAATTACAGAACACAAAATTTTCACAAAACTTTTGTTGAAGATTTATAAACTTGAACTTGTTTTATTCAATGTAGCTAAGGTATAAATATTTTTTTTATATATAAGTCATGAGGCTGGACTGCAAAGGTTAACATGTTCGCTGCCGAGCGAACTACTTCGATCTATGAGTGAACTCATGGTTGGCAGCAAACATGTTAAGTAATCAGTAGAATTCAGAATTTTGCAGATAAAATAAACTAAATCTGGTTACAGCAGTTTAAAATACTGGATATTATCCCTATAGTAACTATAATTAGTAAAATAAATATGTATGAATTTTTTATAATCATGACAAAACATCATTCCCATTAAGTGATGCCTTTTTAAAATACTTATAATTTTTGGATCATTGATAAATTTAGACAAAAAAGGTTTAAGAAGATAGTGCCAAAAGAAGCAAGACATGAAGACACTGAAACAAGAACTAAAAAGATGCATGCTTCAGTCTATGAATACTTTCTGTAAAAAAACTCACAACTAGGTCAGAACCGATACAAAAAATTTATAAAACATGTGCAGCAGTCAGTCATCACACCTTATTGAAACAGAAACTGAAGAATTTCCAAAGTTAATTTGCGAGGCCTCATAAAAACTTTTGATGATCAGTATCAACATTTTGATGAGATAGAAGAAAAAGAAATCTTGCCACAAATTAAATGGTTAAGACATCATCTTCATGCAGCAAAAGTTGGGAAGGATGAAGTTTGTAATCAAAAAGTGATCAATAAGTCACTAACTATATTTCTTTTATAACAGTAATTTTTACACAAGTTTGTCAATTCTTAATCTCACTGACTGACAGTATCAATATTTTTTTCTATATATGTCTATCTATTCATTCAGATTTTCAGTACTGTACATATGTGAAAACATAAGACACTTAAGAACTTTCAAATGCCTGTACAAAGGACTTTAAAACCATAATCATATTGAACTTAATTTTGCATACTTCTTTAATGTGTTTTTTAACTACATATATTGGTTTACAAGCTATTACTGTTGTAAACTGTAATGTTTATATAAATGCTAGTTAGCCAGCATAGAACTTTCAAACAAGTAATTAATTTGCAAAACCTCCTGACTTCGACATGTAAACCACTAGCCTCTGCCTAGCTCACTATAGAAATGCGGGGAAAGATTAAAAGCCAGAAGCAATAAATAAAATATAATAGTCTAGTAGATGCCTAAATTGCAGTATTAATCATAATAAAGAATACCATTAAGACATGCTTCTGTTAAGCTTTGCTATTTTAGCTGGTTGTGTTCATATTAGCTACACTCTATAATAAATATGAAAATATGTGGCATTTATCATTATAAAAAAATCATGGATATTTTTGGGAGCACTGCTTACATCCTTTTCCAGGCCTATATTCTAACTAAACCTACTGCTCACCACCATTTTGTGAGTCTACTTGTCAAGCAATATTTGTGCGACTGAGTAACAACATGCAAACAATTCAGGTAACATTCATTTTTTATACACAGAGTTAAACCAAGTTTTGTTACACTGAAATAAAAATAAATTCATTATTATTATAATTATTAACATATTCCACAAATATCCAATATATTCACCTTTGCTGGTATGACACACATCTCTGCAACACTGGTAGAATTTTCATGGGTGTATAAGAAAGCTGATACTGCAGTTGAATGAAAGCAGTGTCAAGACAGTAGACCAGGTTAGAAATACAGAAGATTATCAAGATTATTTTCAAGAGTCCTTTAGTCACTATGTGCCATAGAGATGGAGAAATTTTGTAGGACTATCTCAATCAAAATTTGCCTCTAAGGTGGATATGACCCACAGGATGGTGATACAATGCATTAATGTACTGACCAGGATCTAATCTCATGTGATTTATTTTAGGAGAGATTATCAAGGCATCCCATCTTAAATGAAGCCTGGGTAAAATTGCTGAACACTGGTAGTTCGGTCCAACTTTCGAATCCCGCCGAACAAATGCGGGCGGGCTTGCCCGCTAATGTCATAATAAAAAAAAGCATTTTGACTACATTTATGCAAAATAAAAACTTATTCTATATCCCTTTTTTTGTGTGTGGAATATACTAAAATATTCAAAACACATATAATTTTTTTTTTTCAGTTGATCAAAAATCAATGTACAAAGATAAAACAAAATACATCATTTTTAAATATCTCAGAAAAATTCAATAATTTATTATTGAGAAACAGCATAAAAACACCAAATGTGGTCTTTAAAAGATTTTTGCATTTATTTAAATGAGAAAAATGACATGACTTGGTAAAAGGTTACACAATTTTTTATCCTATATACACTGAGCATGCAACCTACATATTTTAATTTTTATTTAAAAAGTACACAAAAGTTTCATCATATATAATTTTCTATCCTCTTTAAAAGTGTAGGATCTTCATAATTTACACCAATGACTTCACATTTGGGGATGATTTCTTGTAGTAATAATGATACAAGCTCTTTATTTCCTATATTTGGTGTATCATTCAAGACTAGAGTTCTCAGATTTCTGAAATATATTTGAAAAATATTATTATTAAATGTTTTTACAATAATGAGCGTGCAAGTATTTTACACAAATTCAGTTTCAGAACAGGAAACACTTTTTTACAGAATAAAATACAGTACAAAGTCCGTAATTCAGACTCGTCGGGACTTCGGCGATTCCGGATAAGGAGTTTTTCCGGATTATAGATCATCAATTTAAATCTGGTAAGATGGCATGCAAAAATTATACAATTAAAAATATGAAATCGTAATTTATGAAATAAAGAACAATTATGATCTAAAGGGTATCAAAATTTACAAAAAAAAGCTTAATATTTATTTGTTTACTTTATTTAAAACATTTCTTTCAATGTAAGTTTATTTAAGTGCTTCCACAAAAAATTTAAAAAGTTCCTTTTTTCTTGTGTCATATATAGTGGACTTTCCATGCCATACTTCTCGCATAATTTTGAGACGGATAGGCCTTCTCCATTTTTGCAGTAATTAAAATTTTGTTAATGAACATCGAAACTGCTTTCGCTTGTAGATCCTCTGGCAGCTCCACAATAGGAAACTCTTTTTGACATAATCAAAGCTCAAGCTTAATTTTTATATAATTGTTCTAACAGTCTGCAAAAAATAATAAGCCGGATCCAATTAGAAGATTAAGGAACAGCGCAATCTGCAACATTAACTGAAATGCCTTAGATACTTTTAGCCTAGCTTATACCATCCGTTATACATTAAACGTGCATGCGTAAATGCATTATGCATTAGGCTTGCACATAAAGTTTGTAGCTTTGAGGTCTGGATTATAGATTATTCCAGATTATGGATGTCCAGATTACAGAAATTTGTACTGTAGCTATTTTATGATAAGAAAATTAATAATTTCATAAGCAATGAATAAATATTTAATGAATAGCTTAATATAATTATGACTATCTTAATAGTATATGCATTTATTACTCATAACCCTGACCAGTGGTTTTCAGACTGTGTTCTGTTGAACTTTGGGGTTCCGTGTGACAATTTCAGATTTCCAAAAGTCAAAAATCAAAATTCAAAGAATTTTTAATATCACAAAGACCACAATAGTAAATACATTAATTACATAATACAGTCAAAAGTCTTTAATCCGGACTCATAGGGACTTCGGCAATTCCGGATTATCGGTTTTTCCGGATTATAAATCTTCAGTTTAAATCTGGTAAGATTGCATGCAGAAATTATAAAATTAAAAATATGAAACCGTAATTTATGAAATAAAGAGCAATTATGATCTAATGGGTATCAAAATATACAAAAAAAGGTTTATATTTATTTGTTTACTTTATTAAATATTTCTTTCAACGCGCACATGCTTAAAGCATACATTACACTAGTCGAATTAGAAATTCAACAGAAAACTATTGTTGTGTAGTATGATATTTATAATGACGAGAAATTTGATTTAAATCATATCAAAGATGGAGTACATCGAGATGAAATACTATTAGTAAGGATTATAAAGCCGAATAAAATAAAAACATCTGCCCTGAAGATAAGGATAGTGCTGACAGATCAACTTCCAGTTCATTGCGCGCCGCGTCGTCCCCTCCCCCCCTATAGTAGCGTGAAATTGATGAACATACTTCGGAATGGTTAGAGAACCAAAGGATATCCTTTATCCATTTTTTGCAGCAATTCCACTTTTTGTTTGATGGACATCGAAACATGCTTTTGTTTTGTAGATCCTTTGGCAGCTCCAGAATCGGAAATTCTTTTTTACATAATCGAAAGTTCAAGTTTACTTTTATAAAATTGCTCTAACAGTCTGCAAAAAAAATAATAAGCCGGATCCAATTTGAAGATTAAGGAACAACAATCTGCAACATTAACTGAAATAGATAATTTTAGCTTAGCTTATACATTAAACGTGCATTATACATTAAACGTTATACATACCACGTAATACATGCATGATGGTAAGTAAAGATATATGTGCATGCGTAAAGGTATTATGTGCATGCGTAAATGCATTATGCGTTTACGCATGTGCAGAAAGTTTGTAGCTTTGAGGTCCGGATTATAGATCATTCCGGATTATGGACATCCGGATTAAAGACTTTTGACTGTATTAAGTAATTTTGCTTTATTGTTGCCTTCCTGATTACTTGGAAGGGTATGATGACAATCTGCTGAGTGCCAAGATGATACGTTGTGAGAGTGCCTAGTGTGCAGCTTAAAAATTGCAAAAATTAAGAAAGAAAAAGCACTGGCAAAAAAATTTTCTTTGTATAATGTTCTCCCCACACACACACTTGAATGGAAACTAAAGATGAATGGCACTCAGATGAGCAGTTGGTGATGGCTCATCTTGATAGGTTTAGCAAAGTCAGACAATCATTTATTCACAATATTGGTGAAATATACAGCTGGCAGGATTTATACGGTGATTTTAAATTTGTCTGATATATGAGTTCTCAGTTTTTGGCTGAATTTTTGCAATAAAATCTTAACTTCTCAGCTTATATTTGAAAATATATTGCTGTGTGCATACAGGATCGTAACAGATTGAATACACAAGTCCGATAATAAGTTAACAAAATTTATTTTATCAAAAGCAAAATTTCAGAACTCTGGAATTTTAGACAGAAATACTCGTTATATTGTACTATGTGATTTGTATGTTTACTTGTGCCAAACATAAAGCTTTATTTTGATGATTGTAATGAGTTGAATTTAGTGTAGGCAGAAGATTTTTTTTTTTTAATTTAATTTTGAAGTATGTTTATTTTTAAAAGTTTGTTTAATGTTTGCAGGAGGTTAAGCTGTTGTTGTTGGGAAATTTTTGGATTTCAGATAATGTGTAGTTTATAATTTATGAATGTTTTAATTTTATTTAATTAATGTTTTTCGGGTTAGTTAATTAATTTTTAGTTTTGTTTCTTGCACATGTGGCAAAAACCAAAACATGTTGTATGTTTAAAGTGTTGAACGAAAGTGGTTCAGTGTGTTGAATTCCACGATGATAGTAACTTGTATATTTTAGTGAGTTTATGATGCATTGTTAGTGAATGTGAATATATTTACTCGGTTGACAATTTTTAAATATAAGTGAAGAGACATTTGATATGTATTATTTTTACAGTAATTTATTTTTGCATTTTTAGTTTCATGTTTGCGACTTGAATTTTTTGCAGTTTATTTTAAACTTATGTTTTAGTTTGTAGAAATTTATGCTTGTGTTGTACAGTCAAAAGTTGTTAATCCGGACTCGTCGGGACTTCGGCGATTCCGGATTATCGATCATCAGTTTAAATCTGGTAAGATGGCATGCAGAAATTACAAAATTAAAAATATGAAACCGTAATTTATGAAATAAAGAACAATTATGATCTAAAGGGTATCAAAATTTACAAAAAGAAAAGCTTAATATTTATTTGTTTACTTTATTAAACATTTCCTTCAATGTAAGTTGCTTGGTTTCATGTGATAATACTTTCTCTTTAATTCTATTAAACAGACATAATTTCTTGTTTAGTTACAAAGTCCGCTGTTCAAGTCCCTATAATTGCTGTGTTGAGAATATGGACTAATTTGTCAATCGAAATGTTTTCGTTTTCAATAACCTCTGGGTCACTTTCTTCACTATCCGAAGCGAATTATAACGATGAGGAACTTGATTTAAATCATATCAAAGACCGAGTACATGGAGATGAAATACTACACTTAGAACGGAATTATAAACCAAATAAAAGAAAAACATCTGCTCTGAAGATAAGGATAATGCTGACAGATCAACTTCCAATCCGCAGCGTGAAATTGATAAACAGATTTCGGATTTCAAAACATACTTTCGCTTTGTAGATACAAATTACATATTAGTAAATATATATCGGAAATTCTATTTGACATAATCTTTCTAATCTATCATAATCTAATAATGACGTTTCTGCCCCCCCCCCTCTGCCGCAGAGCAGCGTGAGAAATTGATAAACAGATTCGGATTTCAAAACATACTTTCGCTTGTAGTAAATATATATCGGAAATTCTATTTGACTAATCGAAAGTTCAAGCTTACTTTTATAAAATTGCTCTAACAGTCTGCAAAAAATAATAAGCCAGATCCAATTCGAAGATCAAGGAACACAATCTGCAACATTATCTGAAATTTAGATAACTTTAGCTTAGCGTATAACCTGTTACACATTAAACGCGCATGCGCACAAACATATTCGCAGCTGTAAGGGTTTATGCACTCTCGTAAACGCATGTGCGCATGCGTGAACGCGACGCATGCGCAGAAAGTTTGTAGCTTTGAGGTCCGGATTATAGATCATTCCGGATTATGGGTGTCCGAATTAACGACTTTTGACTGTATTGAGCATCATTTTCATTTGACAATGTTAGATTTTACACTGCCATTTCTTTTTGCAATAGGCAATCATGAAATGAAATGGCACTATGAAGTTTGACATCGCAAACGAAAAGAGTTTGGCATTACCTTTGTTTGGCGCCAACTTTACCAAAGATAATGTTAATAACATTAAATAGGGAATGCACATTATTACAGCTTAAGAGATCAATGATGCTCGAAATAGCACTATTTCAATCTATTAGCTAATATTTCAACTGTATTTTGTCTAAAGAATATTTCCAAAAATGTATTTAATTATTATTAAAATTTCAATTTTTTTCTTCTAAAGAATTAAAAATTGAACAACTGAAGTATACTTTAGATAGCATAATATAAATCTTCAATGGGAATGAAATCATTAACACTGCATTAGTGCAAATTTAAACCACACATAATTCAAACTTTTAAAACATAAAATTATCATACAACTTAAACTCAAAGTGAATATTTTAATATATAATAATTATCTCTGTTCAAATACTGGGTCTTATAGACATAGAAATCAACATGATTTTTAACAGGTATTTTTCAGTATCTAAAATAAAACCATGTTTACTTCCTTATACAAAGTAAAGGAAGTATTGAGCTCATAAAAAAATTCGGGTATCATATTTCAACGG